ACAGATAAACGTAGAATTGTTTTTGCTTCTGTGGTGTGAAGGGATCAAACCCAGGGCCTTGTGCATGCAAGTGCTCTACCAAATGAGCTACATCCCCAGGCCCAGAAATGTTATTTTCACAAAAAAAAAACCGCATGCTCTCCTATTTTTCTTAAAACACAAATGGCCCTATTTTGGGTTTCCCTCCTGATATACCTTGGCACACAGTCACATCCCCTCAACTCCACTGTATGGAAAACACTGGGAATGCAGTGAGTGATGGGAGTAACAAGAAGTACCAGGGTTACACAGAACCATCTCTTCACCTCCACTGATGGCTGCAAGGGGGAAGAGGGTCCTTTGCTGCCTAGTTTCTAGCTTTTTAAGAAATCAGCATTTTCTTTCTGTGAAATCTCGACTTTTCCTAGTTGATAACTTAAAAAAAAAAAAAAATCATAATACAAGCCAGACATAACATGCCTGCAAGCCAAATCCAGCTGACAGGCCACTAGTCTGTAAACTCCAGATCTTTTTCTTGTTTCTGGGTAATTCTTTCCTCTAAGGAAAGACACTACAAGTCTTACACACAATTCAGACTCAAAGTAAAGCAAAAGACCTACCAACAACAACACTGCCATTAAACATCTTTTTTTAAAGGTGCATTTGTATTTTGAGATAGGTAAGAAACTCACTTTTAAATTTACAATTACTCTTGAGAATTAGTTTTCTTAAATCTAGGGAACTATGATAATCAGCTTAAAATTACCGTGTGAAGTCCATTTTACTATCTCACTTTACAGATGGTTGCAAGAGTTCATAAAATTCAGTTTTGTTTCTCAGAATTCAGCAGAAATGGCTGCTTATGCTCACCTTTTGACAGGTATCATCAATCAAGAATAATTAAAACCATCTTACACCACAATAACAAAAATGCAAAGTAAAGATTTTGAAGGACAGTGTTCTTTGGGGAAAAAAAAATCTAACACATTAATTCAGTTCCTTAAATTCTGTAGTTTCACTGATCTTCTCTGAACATCAGATCATTAAGTAGTTACTTTTAAATCAGTAAGATTGAAGTTAGTTCTTTTTGGTTAATATGCTTCTTGCCAGGGCCTCTAAAAACAAAGTTTTGCAAAAACCAAAGCATTTTTATTAACATAATTAAAAGACGAATGAAAAAAAGCAATGACTGATGCCACAAAGGAGTTACTGAGCACATGTGCTAGGACAGGCACTGTACCAGGCCCCTACCATAAAGAAGTAAGAATGCTCACTTACAGAGTTTATAGTTCCTAAGACTGGAGACAGTTCTCAAAAAGGCAAGCAAAATGTAATTTAATTACAAGTGCCACAAAGAAGTTTTTATTTTTTTAATTTTTTTATTGTTTTATTATTCATATGTGCATACAATGCTTGGGTCATTTCTCCCCCCTGCCCCCACCCCCTCCCTTACCACCCACTCTGCCCCCTTCCTCTCCCCCCCACCCCCTCAATACCTGGCAGAAACTATTTTGCCCTTATCTCTAATTTTGTTAAGAGAGAGTATAAGCAATAATAGGAAGGAACAAGGGTTTTTGCTAGTTGAGATAAGGATAGCTATACAGGGAGTTGACTCACATTAATTTCCTGTGTGTGTGTGTGTTACCTTCTAGGTTAATTCTTTTTGATTTAACGTTTTCTCTAGTTCCTGGTCCCCTTTTCCTATTGGCCTCAGTTGCTTTTAAGGTATGCTTTAGTTTCTGTGCATTAAGGGCAACAAATGCTAGCTACTTTTTAAGGTGTCTTACTTATCCTCACACCTCCCATGTGTGCTCTCGCTTTTATCATGTGCTCAAAGTCCAATCCCCTTGTTGTTTGCCCTTGATCTAATGTCCGCACATGAGGGAGAACATACGATTTTTGGTCTTTTGGGCCAGGCTAACCTCACTCAGAATGATGTTCTCCAATTCCATCCATTTACCAGCGAATGATAACATTTCGTTCTTCTTCATGGCTGCATAAAATTCCATTGTGTATAGATACCACATTTTCTTGATCGATTCGTCAGTAGTGGGGCATCTTGGCTGTTTCCATAACTTGGCTATTGTGAATAATGCTGCAATAAACATGGGTGTGCAGGTGCCTCTGGAGTAACCTGTGTCACAGTCTTTGGGTATATCCCCAAGAGTGGTATTGCTGGATCAAATGGTAGATCAATGTCTAGCTTTTTAAGCAGCCTCCAAATTTTTTTCCAGAGTGGTTGTACTAGTTTACATTCCCACCAACAGTGTAAGAGGGTTCCTTCCCCCCCCCATCCTCGCCTACACCTGTTGGTGGTGGTGTTGCTAATGATGGCTATTCTAACAAGGGGTGAGGTGGAATCTTAGTGTGGTTTTAATTTGCATTTCCTTTATTGCTAGAGATGGTGAGCATTTTTTTCATGTGTTTTTTGGCCATTTGAATTTCTTCTTTTGAGAAAGTTCTGTTTAGTTCACTTGCCCATTTCTTTATTGGTTCATTAGTTTTGGGAGAATTTAGTTTTTTAAGTTCCCTATATATTCTGGTTATCAGCCCTTTGTCTGATGTGTAGCTGGCAAATATTTTCTGCCACTCTGTGGGTGTTCTCTTCAGTTTATAGAGACCATTTCTTTTGATGAACAGAAGCTTTTTAGTTTTATGAGGTGCCATTTATCTATGCTATCTCTTAGTTGCTGTGCTGCTGGGGTTCCATTGAGAAAGTTCTTACCTATACCTACTAACTCCAGAGTATTTCCTACTCTTTCCTGTATCAACTCTAGAGTTTGTGGTCTGATATTAAGATCCTTGATCCATTTTGAGTTAATATTGGTATAGGGTGATATATATACATGGATCTAAGTTTCAGTTTTTTGCAGAATGCTAACCAGTTTTCCCAGTAGTTTTTGTTGAAGAGGCTGCTATTTCTCCATCATATATTTTTAGCGCATTTGTCAAAGACAAGTTGGTTATATTGTGTGGCTTCATATCTGGGTCCTCTATTCTGTTCCACTGGTCTTCATGTCTATTTTTGTGCCAGTACCATGCTGTTTTTATTGTTATTGCTTTACAAAGAAGATTTTAAAAAGTATCATCTAGCTTGACAAAGGTGTTTAAGTTAAGCAAAACGACATTACTGAGCAAATGTCAACGTAACTAGAGAGGTAAAAAGACAAAAATGGGGAAAACAGGGCTGAGTGTGTAGCTTAATAGCAGACCACATACCGCAGCACCACAAAAAGCCACAACAAATTGCTGTTGCAATAAAGTAAATCTTTTAAAATATTCCATGCATGATTCTATTCTATTCATATTACATGTCCTAGAGCAAGGGTTGAGTTTATTTTTCAGCAGGGAGCAGTACTAAGGTTTGAGCTCAGGGCTTCACACTTGCTAGGCAAGCACTCTACCACTTTTTTTTTTTTTTATTCATATGTGCATACAATGTTTGGGTCATTTCTCCCCCCTTCCCCCCCCCCACTCCCTCCCTTACTCCCCCACCTCCCCGCACTCTACCACTTGAATCACTCTGCCAGCCCTGTTTTGTGTGTGTTTGGTTCTTTTTTGTTGAGACCAGGCCACGCAAACTATTTGTCCAGGCTGGCTTCAAATTGTGATCCTCCTGATCTCTAACTCCCAAATAACGAAGATTACAGGCATGAGCCACTGGCGCCTGGCTAAGGATCTATGTGTAAGTCTTCAATTTTGATGACTTTGAGTGATTCTTCTATATGACACACACACACCAATAATAAACGTATTTTAAAAAGTAAAACACTTCCAGGCATGGCAGTACATGCCTGTAATTCCAGCTACTCAGAAGGCAGAGTATCAAGGTTTAAGGCCAGCCCAGGGAAAAACTCAGCAAATTTCAAAGCTGGGTGTGGTGTTATGAACCTGTTATCACAGCTTCATGGGAGGCTGTAGGTAAGAGGATCATGGTCCAGGGCAGCAGGAGCAAAAAGCGTAAGACTCTACCTTAAAAATAACTAAAGGCTAAAAGGGCTGAGGGCATGGCTCAAGTGGTAGAGTATTATAGCAATTTTTTAAAAAGACAAAACCAGTAATATTTATCAAATAATATAAACAGGATAAATGGTTAAAATGTTACTTTTATTGATAGCATGCAAAAAACAGTATTAATTTTTTAAGTAGAGAACTGTGTTGAATGGTCCAATTGCTTGGTGTTTTGCAAAGATACACAAATGTCGTAAGTTTGAAAGACACAAAAGCAAAGCCCTGAAATAGGTTTTAATCTAGTAAAACATTGTCACCAAAAAAGGAATACATCTGAAACTTTAAAAAATATATAGGAATGATGTGCAGCATTCATGATCTTAAATGAAGAACAAGAAAATATGTCAAAAAATGCATCTCAAAACTCATTTGCAATACTTTTTAAATCAAAATAATAGCAAATGTACAAAGTTTTGAACACAGTCTTAAAGATTCAAAATTTAAAACTCTCTGAGCTTTATCTCCATTTTTCCATCCATCTCTGAATGGGAAATTTTTAAACATATTTTCTTAACAATTTAAATAGGAATATAAACAACATAAACCCTATTCTAACCTGGTCACTTTCAAATACTAATTGAAACAGGTGATAGGAACCCACCACTCCCGGGGGGAGAGGGGAGCTGGGTGCACTGGGTGCAGAGGCTACAGCATTGGTAGAACACTGTTAAATACTGTTAAACCACTGTTAATGGTAAGCTTTTATTGTGAGTACCCCTTTTAATGTTGATTCTTCCTTTAAATAAGCTAAGATGTTGGGGGCCAGGGTGATTTGACAACCTGACAGCTGTTAGTCCCTTCTCTAGCTCATGAAGGCACTGTCCCAACAGCTTGTGCCAGACTTTTTGCCATCACAAGCCAGAAGGGAAGCACTTCCCCTGGTGGGCCAACAGAATACTGTAACTGGTATAAATACAATCCTTCATTTGCACAAATGAACTGCCATGATTGGTACAAAACACGCTGGTCACACCCCCTTTCTGGCAATATAAGCAAGCTGTTCAGCTTACTTTAAGAGGCAGTCAGAAAACACCCTCCTGTGCTGCCCGCTGGTGTGCAACATTAGGTCCAATAAAGGCTTCTCTCAAGTGCTCTTTTCTTGACTACGTTTGATGTCCATCATTAGTAGAGCAGCTGATCTGGTAACACAAAAAAGCGACAGTGGTGGTGGCAAGGGGCTGTAATAGCCACCCTGGCAGCAGAGGCAGCACTGGCAGCCAAGGGAACCCCTGCCCTGGAGGCATCAGTGGCCATGCTGTGGCAATGGTGCCCGTGCAGCCCTCATCCAGGCAGTAGTAGCAATGACAGTAATGGCAAAGCAGCAGTGGTGGTAGTGATAGCAGAGGCAGCAGTAAAAGACAGTAGCAGAGCTGGCAGAGTGGCTCAAGCAGTAAGAGTACCAGTCTAATAAGCATGAGACCCTGAGTTCAAATCCCAGTGCTTGCAAAAAAAAAAAAAAAAAAAAAAAGGGCAGGAGCCCAGGAGAGGGCTTAGGTTAAAGAAAGAAGGCAATAAAGAGCCAGACAGAAGAGATGCCATGGTTAGTGGAAGAGGCCTGAGAGCTGTTACACTCCTCTCTGCTGTCAAAGGCTGAGGATCACAACATAGGAGGCCCCAGATAATTATAACTACAACACAGAAAGCCAAAGTATAATATCAAAGTATTAGGCAAAAATATGTAAATAAGTTATAACTAAACCACGAGCTACAAAGAATAAAACCTATAGAACCAGAACAAAAGAGAGCAGTAAGTCCCAATAGCCAATCACTAATTTTTCATGGCTGTACCTTTTCTCATTGAGAGAAGGTGTACTTGGACAATATTCTGTTAAGAAAACACAGCATCTGTGCTGGAAATGTAACTCAGTGGTTAAAGTGCTTGCTTAGCATGCAAAGTCCCTGGGTTTAATTTAATCCCCATCACTGCAAAAGAAAAGGAAAAAAAGATCTCCAGCATTGAAAAAAATTTAAAAAGAAAGAAGAAAGTATATCACTTTTAGTGATATAGAACTATTTAGTGAATACAACTACTCACTTTTAGAAAGAATGTTACAAATGTAACTACTGATACTGAGGCAAGATAGATAGCTGAAGAAAATGTTGGCATCTGCCTTGACTTTGTATCTGTCTTTGTCCCTTAAGGTCACCTTGGAATTCAGGAAGGACTAGTACTTATGGATAACATGTTTACAAGGAGGGATGGAGGGCCCAAATGAAAGGCCCCAGGACAAGACAGCAACAAGGGCTGAGATAATGACCCACTGGAACACACGTGTGACTAGGGCTGCCTAATTGTGCCCCCTACTCTTCTTTGTCTATTTAAAGCTAATGCTCACATCTGTACACCGAAGTGCTTACTTTGCTTCTTCACAAGTGTCTCCAGGGCCAAGCGGCCTGGACCAGAAATGTGGAAACACAAGAGTTCAGGCCCGGAGTCCAAAACTTCAGTTTCAAAATGAGACCAGTTACATATAAACACATTTATGAAATACATTCAAATTTTAATAACCAAAAATTGTTTAAATGATTCTTTAATGGCTAAAAATGTTCACATTCTAAAGCTGAAGTGGGAAAAACATGAACAGTTAAATTAACATTCAGAATATGGCACTAGGACTTTTTATGACAGTTTTTATGCCAAAACTCTTTTTAAAGTCTTCATTTATCTATGAGCATAAAGGAAATAGAACAAAAGAAATATTGTAACTGCTTGGAGAGCTTTTTGCCAGTTCTGCAACATACAAGTAATTCAATTCACCCATTTTATGCCACGACAGTTACTTTTTTCTTCAAAATATAATTTTAAATACTCTAAATTTACCCAATTACAGACAAATTTACATGTAAATACATTAAAATGTAACTGATGTATCTGAGAAAAGAAAAAAAATGTAACTTTTAGACCTCTCAAAAATATCAATATTAAAAATACATATGATTGTACAAAGAAATAAATCTTTTGATGTACTTGAAATGCTAAATTACATAAAAGATCTTTAAAAGGAAAAACAGCAACTGTTACAAATATTGAAGTTAAAATGGCTCTTTTGGGGACCCTCTCAGAGAAACTTAAGTCTCTTGCTCCCCAAGTGGGGGCAGGGTGGAAGATACTGTGGCAAATGTATACTCTAGCCAATGTGGCTCCAAACTTGAAGTGTAGCAGTAAGCTCTGGAACAAAGAATGTGTAACTTGATCTCTTTCCTTCTCTCCTCCTTCACAGCAACATTCAGAAAGTAATTTAACCTCTCAAAATGGCATCTTTGTACTGTGGAGAGCTATTCAATATTACAGAGCAAGGGGGGAAAAAACACAAGAAATCAAACCACTTAAAAAAAATGTTTTGCTAAATATATAGTGATTTTTTTTTAGGTCAAACATTAAGTACATAGACAAACCAATTATAAACGAAGCCACTGCTACTTAAATAGGATTCTTTTTTTTCTTTTATTCATATGTGCATACAATGCTTGGGTCATTTCTCTTCCCTTCCCCCCACCTACTCCCTTTTAAATAGGATTCTATTATGCAAGACTAAAAATGCAGTTCAGGTTTTAAGAACAATTACTCTCGTTAATCCAAGGTGAATTTAGTATTTATTTTGCATCTGCTCCTTAGAAGTCTTCAGAAGAGGAAGTAATTAAGACTCAATAAAAAATTATTTAGATACAGTTGAATTTTAAATCCTAGTGGCTAAAAGAATCATGCAAGTTACATATTTCATTTGCCCTAATGAAAGGAATAAGTGAATCTGAAAATGTGGAAAATAGAAACCTAAAAAAGTTGATAAAAGGATGTAATAAACTTTCTCACCAAAGATTCTTAAAGGCACTCTGAAATACCAAAAAAACTTTGTATTTTTTTTATACATTTCAAAGCACTTCTCAATGCATGACTTAATCTTATCCTCACAACTTTTGAGTTTGGTGGATCACATATTTGTTTGAGACAGACACAAAGAGGTTGGTGGGAATCTCTTGACTCTCATCTACAGCTCTAAACTGTTAGTTTATTTCAGTACATCTTGGTAAGCAGCACCATCCCTATTTTAGCAAAGAACTGACTTCAGAGAAGTAACTTGTCTAAAATTACAGTGCTGGTATACAGCAGAACAAGATTCAATTCAGGTCCAACCCAAATCTGATCATTTCACAACTCTGTAGTCCTTACCTTTATCAAAAGTAAATAAAATTAACAGTTTAATTCTGTAGCTGACTAAAAGCCACCTTTGGTAGAATAATGGCTGCAGAGATGTCCACAACCTAATCCCTGGAACTTGTGAATATGTTACTTTACATGGCAAAAGGGACCTGGCAAATGTCACTAAGAATCTAACAGCTGAGATGGAGAGATTGTTCTGGATTACCCCAATCTAACAGAGATCCTTCCCTACTATGGTTAGAGAAAGAGATGACAAAAGGTCAGAGAGGAGAGACCTTGTTGACTGCAAAGAGGAGCTGGCAGGGGCTCACAAGCCCAGGAATGTGGCAGGCCTTTGGAAGCTGGAAAAGACAAAGAATCAAATAGTACCCTGGAGCTTCCAGAAAGGAACACAACCCTGCAGATAACTTGATCTTAGCCTAGTGAGACAGGTGTTGAACTTCTGACCTGCAGAATGCTAAGAGAATACATTTGTGCTCTCTAAACCACTATTTGTGGTAATTTGTTACAGCAGCAATAGAAAATCAAATATATTACAGGATAGACTGCTTTGAACTTAAAAATGTCGATGTTCTACAACCAGAATTGTGTGTGTGTATGTGTGTGTGTGAGTGTGTCTGTGTGTGTAAAAGTCAGGAATAATGAAAACACATAGAGTAGATGAAGAAAAAGACTACAGTTGTGACCAAAAAGAATGGGATAAGTAGGTAAGAGTCTGCAGAATACTTACGAGAATGAAATAGGGCAGTGGGCTATTGAACGAAGGGGAAATACTGAAGGTAGTTCAAAGAGAATTTGCCAAGGAATTATGATAGATGCAATAATAACAACTGAGTCCTTGATTTAGGTACTGTTATTATTCCACTAATATATGGGGAAACTGAACAGAGAACACAGAACTTAGCAAGGTCACACAGCAAAAATGTAGTAAAGCCAGGATTCAAACCCAGATATTTTGGGTTCAATCCTGAGCACTGCAAAAAAAAGGAGGAAAAAAAATCTTCAAACCCAGATATTTGGGCTTCAAAGCTGGTTCACTTCACTAGCAACCTACATTGCTTCTCCAGAGAATAAGCCCTATTGCTTAACCCCTTCATTCAAAATACCTCAAAGATGTGGGAAGGATTAATGGGATAACGTGTAAAGCACTCAGAAAAGTGGCTACTATGCAGTAATTGTTCAAGAAATGTAAGTGACCAATACTGAATTCCAGATGCTATGCTAAACATTTTTCTTACTGAGCAAAAGCCCAGTGAGTTGGATCTTTTTAGAGATAGAAAAACTGCTAAGGTACAAGAAAATGGTTAAGGTATACAACCACTAAGCAACAGAGACAGATTTCCAACTTGGAACATAATATACAAAGCACTTGATGACAATTACTAATGTTCAACATTTTTTTTTGGCTTGTGTACCCCAAATACAACTATGAAAACCTGTACTGCCCTTCATACAGTTTTATGTTGACAATTAAAATCTTTCATAAGTTAGATAAATTCAAAGAATATGACTTCTGGCATATTATAAATACTGACATTTTAATAAATCTGCTAATACCACTAAGTGTGTTCAAAAGACTCTAAACACCATTGTGACCTGATACCATGATCCATTTTATAATGAAAAATTCACATTTTCTTCCTCCTTGAACCCATCTTTCCATTACATTTGCCATGCATATAATTTCTAACAATTGAAACTCATTAATAACTCAGTCATACTGAGTACTGTTTTGTAGTTTAAATGGATTTTTTTTCAACAAGTCTCCTTCTATCACAAATAAGACTTTAAGTAAAAAGTAACTGAAATTTTATTTGGGATTCAATTGTAATTACCATTCCAATTATTAATAGCACAGAAAATTTAAGTGGCAAATACTACAGATCTGGTAAGTAACATTAAAGGAAATTTTTTTACTAGAAATGTACCTCTAGGAGGTAGACAGAGCCTTTTAAATGAGTTCAAGAGTCCCCTATCTCAAAAAAATAACCAGAGAAAAAAGGGCTGGAGGCATGGCTCAACCAGTAGCAGGGTGTGAGGCTCTGAGTTCAAACACTAGCACCACCAAAAAGAGATGAAAGAACTGAAAGCAGGATCTCAAAGAGGTATTTGTACTCAGTGTATGTATTCAATACAGCACTATGCCCAATAGCTAAGATGTGGAATCAAACTAAGCGTCCATCAACAGATGAACAGATAAACAAAATGCAGTACTTATATGTAATGAAACAGCACCCAATCTTTAAAAAAATAAATCCTGTCATATGCTACAAAA